GCCACCCTTATGATCGTCATTGCGAAGAAAGCGTGACGCGATCCGGACTGGAGGCCGCGCGCTTTGGCCAATTTTCTGCGGGGATTTTGAGACGTCTCAATCGGACAAATTTCCCGGTAATAGTCCGGGGCATGTATATACATCCCCCGCTCTGACCTCCTGTCACAGTGTCACAGACAGTTGACACACACGAACGATATCGAAGACTATACCTATATTGATTTCACCTCTGGAAGCCGCAGAGCAAGCAAAACTGTCAAGCTTCAAGAGTCGTTACTTTTCCCAGCCTAGCGTGGCAACCGACCCGATAAAAAGAAAGATACAAAAGTAGGTTGCGCAAGAGTATTGATGGAGGCATATCATTATCCACAGATTGTGCTTATAAGGTTACGGCATTGAGGCCGTCGAGAGTCGAGACGGTGTACCGGCTGACCCAAAGCAGTAGAAAGAGGAGTCTCCCCCAAAGGAGAGGAAGGAATGACATAGAAAAGTGAACCAAGATTACAGAAACAAGAAATTGCATACTGTCTGCTCTGCAATCACTATGAAATGAAGCCAAGAGTTTTCATGTTCTGAATGGGTTTGTCATCGCGTTCCAAATCTAAATTTGATGATAAAGGGTATCAACAAAGGTAATTATGTCAAGTAACGCTCTTGATTTCTAATAAATCAATCAATCGGGTTATGGAATACCTGCTTTGCAGGTTTACAGTGTTCCACGCCTTCAATACGGCAATGGGTCGTAATTACCTAACATCTCGCATTCGGATAAATGGGAATGGCCATTCACGGGGGGTATTTGACTCATCACATTTTCTGCAAACCCCTAGTGTTATGTCATTCGATATGAATGCGAGCTGTTCAGCGGGCCCGCATAAGAATTGAACTCGATTGCAGTTGTCATAGAGAAATTAATAGCGTGTGGAATGCTGCGTGAATTCCCCGGCACATGCCCTCTAGTCCCTTGCCGTTGGCAGCTAAACAGTGCAGAGCTTCTTGTTGTGCAGTTATGCTTCGTGAGGCGCCTAGCCGAAATTGTATGTCGTTCGATGGATCGAGCTGATCAGGGAGAGCCATAGATGAAATGACGGCCTCACTTCTCTTATGTAGTACGGCTCATCCATGGTTTCGGGAAAGCTTCATCATCCCGGGCCTGTTACGTGATCTCTTCAACTTCATTCCTCTTATTCGTGTGCTCGTGTTATCTTGCCCTAGACAGATCTTCGAGTTCAACTGCGTTTCCCCATGTCCGCCTTGTGACATCGGCAACCACTGCACACGTAAAGCTTGTCGCGGGGTTTTTTCATTTATAGCTGAGTTTAAATTTGCATGCAGGTGGCAGCGGCACCATGCCGTGAAAAGGGTCCCCGAGCTGTTTTGCGGTTCATGATTAAACGTAAGGTCTATCAGTCATCGTTATGGCCATAAAGCTGCTCTGAAACCTTGGGTGAGTAAGTGACAGTTGAGTTGTGATGACAAGTCGTCGTCTGAGACTCAATCTGGGCCATCCTGGTTCGTGTCAGGAGTTGAGATCAGATGAAGCATCGGGGGGTTGTTGGCCTGTGTTAGGTTCAACTCTAGGGCCAACGGGATCAACAGGATCAACATGATCAACGGAGTGAGCGGCTCAAAACGCCCAGGCGAACTACCGGACCCGAATCTTGAATGCGGTTCCGGCTCCGCAGAGCACATCTCGACGAGTCCTATCGGACTACGGCCGGTTGGCCCAATGGCAAGGCGTCTGACTACGATTAGACATGGTATCAGGAGATTCTGGGTTCGACCCCCAGGCTGGTCAAGTTCCATTTTTGCGCCCGAGATAGATGACGGAAAAAAAGTGCCTGACGGGCATGCATGCAGCTTAGGGCACAATCTCGTTTTTGACGAAACCAAGGATGTCCCCACATGGTTGGTTTGCTCGTTGTGGGCCGGAGCACGGTTCGTTGGTTGTTTGCTGGGCGAAAGAAAAGCTTGCATCTCTGATATGAGCTGGTGGGGGGTGGTTTGTTCAGGAGATGTGTGTGTGGTGAACATCAGACGCGCCAAAAGCTTGACGGGTATCAAGCATCAGGTCAAGTGCAGGCTCCTACAAACCTAGTTCGTTGAACGGCAAGCTTATAGGGGTTGTTTCGAACCATTGCTCGCACTTCGATAACTAATCAGAAGCCTAACGATGTAGATTGTGCTGGGCTAAAGATCTGAGGAATGTCGGCGCAATGCCAGGGGATGCTCGTGTCTAGTCGGCACAGCTCGGCACAGCTGCGCGGTGCAGCCTGCACCGCTCAACGTCGGCGACCCGTGGGCGCCGCCGGTGATGTCCGAGGACCAAAGCCGGCACTCGGCTTGTGGGAGGTCTCTCTTGGCGACCAACTTCACCACCGAAGTGTATGTAATGTTTCGAGATGGTAGCTGGCGGCTTTTGTGGCTTCCGCAAGGCTAATCACCTCCTTTGCACGAATAGTTTAGGGATCATCCAGGGCCGACGGGGTAATTAGGCTTTCACAATCTACGAACCAGGCACAACAACGGTGCACTACGATCTGGTCAAGACGATCAGTCAGTAACTAATGCATAAAGTAAAATCAAAAGTCTCATAAACGGCAAGTGGAACCGTTTAGAGCTCTGCCCCTTGATAGCACCCAATCTCCCGGCGAAGGCTGACTCGTATTTTGACCGGGATTGGGGTTTCAACCGGGACTCGGGTCTCATGGGTACCCCCCACACAATCTCGAATTCCCGTACACCAAAATGATCACGACACACGTCAATGGTGTGTTGTGGATATGCCAGGTTGTTCCCTCCGACGACTGGGGGGCTACCTCTGGCCCCTAATCCCCCAGCGGCCGAGTCTCCGGGTCACACCTTTGGGCCCAGGATCCTTGGAGCAACGGGAAATCCAAGGGATGTTGGCTTTCGTTCTCCAGAACGGCAGAAAGCGTGCTCCCTTAGGAAATTGCTTCCTTTGCTATCAGTCCAGTCCCAGTCCCCGTCCCCTCATCCACAGTCACCCAAAACTCTTCCACGTCCTAAACAGACCGCATCTCGACACAGCAAAACCACCTTGGTTGGAGTTTTTGAAAACGCACGCGAGATAACCCAAAGAGGAATCCATGTTCGCGAGCAACTTAGCAGCGGCGTTTTCCTGCTAGAAAAAAACAATCAACAAACCGATCCTCGACGCGGTCGTGCGTCCACCGACGAACAGTCGAAAATGTCGCCAAGACCTCGGCGTCGAATCATCCCAACTCCTGCACTCATCATATCCTACCTGGCAGTACAGTCTCGGGCAGTTTTCATCAACGACTTCTCTGCGTACCCGGTCAGTGCAAGACCATGTTTGGACGCAGCGGCGGCCTCGTCCGGCTGCACCGGTAACACAGTCACGGAGATGAATACATGTCTGTGCGGAAATGGCGGCGACTTTGTGATGGCGACTGCGAGATGCGTTGATAAAAGAGCCAAAGACCAGCTCAGCGCTGTGTACACAATGCTTCTGACCTCCTGTACGGACTCGAGAACACCGCTGGGTATTTCCCAGGCACAATTCCTAGAACCCGAAGACGACCTCGATGAAACACCGACAACCTTTGCTACGTCAATCACGAAGCCGCCGACCGCTGCATCATCAACACAAGCACCAGGAACAATAACATCAACATCTCTGACGACATACCGGAGCGTGGCGCCAGGTGGAGTAACAGTGACAATAACGAGAGCAATTGAGGTGGTTCCAACCGCGACGAATAGCGGGACACAGGGCAGCGACGATGAGAAGTCGGATTCCGGTGATAACCACAGCCGGACGGCCCTAGCAGCAGGAATTGCTGGGTCAGTCGCTCTTCTCATGGCGTTGATTGCGTTCCTCTGCTACCGGCAAAGGAAGCAGCGCAGGGAAAGGAATGGGCAGGACGGCACGGGTGGCAAGTTTGCGGCGTTGTCTAGTGCGACGAGTCTCACGACAATGACAAACTCCTCGGCCCCTGGCCAGCCGACGACAGCTTACAACGGAGCGAACGGGCTGAGACCCGATACACCACGCACGGCGGAGATGGCAGCAGATACCACTGCATGGGGCCAGCAACGACAGCAACAATACGGACCAGAGAGTCCCCAACATTGGCAAAACAACTTTTCAAACCAACACGGCCAGCACACGGGAAATTGGCCATCGCCGGTCACCAACACTGACGGAACTATTGGGACATGGGGCTTCTCGCCCGTCTCTACCTACCCGTCGAATTCAACAAGGGGACCCGACTCGCCATCAGCACAGAACGCGAGCTGGAACGCGCATGCGGCTCCTGCGGGCGTTCCCGCTCCTCATCCTTCGTACCCATCGACAAACACATATACTCCCGTCTTTGAACTCCCCGGAGACGAAACTCAGGCCGTCGAGGCCGACTCGACGCCCATTGGTTCTGCACAACCAGTGCATCCGCCTTCACGATCGATTCAATCGACACCGGCACACATGTCCGCACAGCCGGTTGCACCGGCACCGACCCATCCCGGGATGTCCAGACAGATCGATGATGCACTGCAAATATCCCGAGTGGAATTACCGCCGCCACGGTACTCAGGACCCTCATCAGGACCCGAATGGGGCAGCGACGAAAAGAAACTCGGCTAGATGAGGGGGGGTCCCTGGCGATACAGCTCTTCAGCATAATGATATTCTATAAACTTTGTAATATTACCTACCTACCTAGCAGTATGGAGATACTCAGGGCATCACTGCCGACGTGATGCGAGAAGTTTCAAATTCAATTCAATACAAGATTGGCAATGCCTCATATTTTAACGTGCCCTCTTATATAGATAGTGATGACACATGATCATGAGTCGTTTTCGAGTCGTCTATAGAAAAAGGGAAAGAAAAAAAAAGGGGGAAGTAAGAAAGAAAACAAGCTTTTTCTTTCTTTGGGACATGACGTCAATTGACAGGCAAAGAGTCAAGGGGAAAAAAAGACCAAGAATTAATCAACAAAAGAAAAAGAGAATGTCCCTAGCAAGGCTCGAACTTGCGACCTTTGGATGTCCCGAGCTTGGAAGCCGGGTCATATTGATTGTAATATGAGACCAACGCTCTACCGACTGAGCCATAGAGACTGTTAAGGAAGACGTTATGCGAGTATGCCACAGTGAGCAACAAGAATGGTAGCATGTGGAGTGACTCGAATCATGGCGTCCGCTTCCAGCCAGTGCCCAACCGCGACGCGTCAGTTAGTGGATACTTTCAAAGAAACCATGTCATGCTCCGTTTAGGGGCCATAGAGACTTGGTTGCCAGGTCTATCTATATGTAGTTTGTTATATGCCTAAGAATACTGCAAATGGAATGGTAGTCAAACCCCGCTCGTCGTCAATCTTTCTGAGGCACGCAAACTACATGATTTAGAATACTTGACGACGTACCATGATTCAATTTGTGTTGCGAGACGAGGGTTTCTCTAGGATGCTCTTCGATGACCGAATCGCAGTGGCTTAAAGCAATGAAGCTCACTAGACAGAACATGTAGTCATTGTCCCGAAAAAACCGATAGTGGGGGTTTAGAGACGGTTTGATGATTCTGAAACATACTGAGAAACCTTATTGGCATTTTGACGTCGCTTTTAGCAGAAAGGCCGGTCCCCAGGCCTGAACCGGAACCCACCGGAGGTGTTGTTGCATTCGTAGAATATTTATTGTCTCGCAAGACTGGGGCATAGTCCAATGACGAACGAACCCAGACGCACCCTGAAGCTTCAGACTAGAAGCAGACCGACCGGCCTCCTTTTGTCAACGTAGAGGCCTCCTGTCAGCCTTATCCAGCCACAAAAACATGCGGGCGTCGCATCCCGAACGCGCGTCCAGAAGACGCTAGCCAATGGACCACAGGGGCTTCTGTGGCCTATTCCTGCGGCTGAGCTGCGGGAATGGGGCGCAGGATGCCTGCCTAGCTCGAAGGCGGTGCGTCCTAACCATGCCGAGCAAAGGTTGGCGTGTCTGGTTAATATCATCACCCACTACATAATCGGAATGAGCGGGGTCGGAGACCCTGGTTTTCTCATTTATTAACTACAAGTCATCGCCAACGAACGAGTGCACCGCCGAGCGCATGTGCGGCTCTTTAGGGAACACTGTGAAAGTTCCATTGATATCCGGAGAAACTGTTCTCTCGTGACAATGGTGGGTTTCTCCTCAGCGGCGGTAACGTCGACCTGCGACGACATTTCCCATCGAGCCGTCTCCACATCAGCCGAGCTGGACAGCCTGCTCAAAGCCATCGACCCTGGGACCACTGCTGCCCAGCACTTGATCTCGCTCTCAGCAAAGCTCGAGCAGTTCAGAAACACTGCGGAACGGCTCCGGACCTGTCTCGATAATGCATCAGCTATCTCGCCTGGCCTGCGAAATGCCCTAGTCATCTCGGTCCAACCATGCGCAGATGCAGCGGCAGTTGTAAACAAGCAAATACGTAGACTCGACCCGGGCAACGTGACGGGCCTCAATTCAGACGTGATCTTGCAATACGAGAGCTACCACACGGCAAACACTCGTCTCTTCACACAATACATTCAGGTAGTCCAGATGTGAGTTTCCTAAAGCAACCAGTTTCGCGTGCGGACAAGTCGCTGAAGTTACCGAGGCCCACTGTCGCCCAGCAAGACTCAAAGCTTTCCGCGCCGGATGGGCATCGATTGCTGGAGACGGCTGTAGAAACATCTCAGATCGTTCTCACTCGCAGCGACATTCTCCAAGTCACGGACGAACCCAGCAGCTTGGTCATTTCCAGTGTAGCAAATCCAAGTGAACCAGAGGACAACCCGAAAGATGCACAACCACCAGAGTATACGCCAGCCAAAACTGGCAAGGGAAAAAGCAAAGCCACCGGCCAATTCTTCTCGTCAATCTCAAGCTCCTTCAAGGCAATGACAGCCGGCTTGCGAGCCAAGCCAGAGCCGATGGTCATCGCTATGTGCCAGGCAGCCAAGAGCGGTGACGTGGGGCATCTCAAGGGCTTCCTCGCGCAAGGAGTTAACATCAACGGCCAAAACGACGAAGGGTACACACCGCTTATATGCGCCATTCGATCCAATCAAATTGAGGCCGTCGAGTTCCTCCTACAATCTGGAGCTGATCGATCGACCAAAGACTCGTGTAGTGGGAAAAAGAAGCCCCCTCTCTTCCACGCCGCCGAGTGTGGCTTCGTCCCCATTGCTGAGTTGCTCATGAACAATGGCGCAGATATGAAGGAGCGTTCCTGGTCCGGACAGCCATTTTTCGTCGAGGTTGCGAATAGCGACCAGCTGGAGATTATCAAGCTCTTCTTGGCCTGGGGTTGCGATGCCAACACTAGCGCCATTAGTGGACGAACCATTTTCATCCACGCGGTTCAGGCCGGGAGTCTTCCACATATGAAGCTTCTTCAGGAGTTCGGTGCTGACATGAACGCCCGTGATATTACCGGCCAGCCCGCACTTCACATGGCTCTAGGACAGAACCGTATCGACATCGTCACCTTTCTCCTGGAGCACGGTGCGGACCCTAACGCAACGGACCTGACTGGCAGCACCATGATTATCTCTGCGTTACACAAGAAAAAGTACGAGCTTGTCAAAATGCTTTTAGTCCGAGGGGCCGATCCGAACACTGCGGGTCTAGGAAATGGCGTTCTCTGGACGACGTTGCAGAGTAGGGATATGGAGGATGGCATCAAGATTGACCTTGTTCGAGCGCTTCTACAGCGAGGGGCCAACCCCAATGAGGTTGACAGTTGGGGGGAGTCCATAATGAGCCTGGTCATCACGCTTGGCAACACCGAGCTTCTTCGAACGTTCCTGAGGCACGGCGGGAACCCGAACAAGAAGCTCAAGGACGACACATTCCTCCTCTTTACCATCGACATGGGACGGACCGAGGATGCGAAGCTCCTCCTGACACACGGCGCCGACGCGAATGCGGCCGATAACAAGGGCAGAACGCCTCTCATTGAGGCTCTTCAATCGGGAAACCAAGCCTTGGTGCAGACGTTACTAAATTTCGGCGCGAATGTGAACAAGACAGGTCAAATTAGGCCACTGACGCTGGCGCGGCTACTGCAAAACCAGGAACTCGTCCAAATGCTGACGGAACGGGGTGCTCAGGCCCCTATCCCGCCCAAGCTGGAAACTGCTCTGGTCACACCAGTGTCTCCCAATGCGCCAAGTACGAGTGCCAGGCGACAAGGACCACCACCACCTGGCGACGCAGAGATGCCTCCTCCATATATGGAAGCAAATGCTGTCGATGGGTTGACAACGCTGGGAACTCTAAGTGGCAGCGCAGCTAGCCGGCTGGGGGGAGGGGAGCCTGCGAGCGGCCTGTAATAGAATGGAGGGCTTGGCCGGAACGGGAAGTAGTAACGCTGAGAAGCTACTTACACTGCCCTGTTGTAATAGCTTTCAATCAAGAATGATTCTATTCTTAAACGCAGAGAAAAGCAACTTAAAAGGTAGAAGGTGTAGAAGAAGAGAAAAGGGGCCTGCTTGCTATGCATGTAGGTTATTCCTAAAACTAAGGCTTAACTTTGTTTAATTTCTAGATAAAGCTCTATAGAAGGCTTATATCTAAAGTTATTGTAAGACTTACATTTAATCTGTTGATAGCAGAAAGCGTGTAAGATACGCTTATCTAGGGAAGTATTATAGTATGCCATTCCATTTGGTTAAGCATATGAAGTTACACCTTCTAGATACTTATTGCCGCAACTCTACAAATGAATTAAACATATTAGATTTGGTATAAATACGTGCTAGTCACGGTGTGCCCTGCAACAGATTTCTAGGGTGGCCGCCAGTTCAAACTCTGTTAGCACTTATCCCATAGGTACCTGATGACTACACGTGTAGCCCACCAAGCCATTAGAATAGGGCAGGGCGAGAAGCTTGTCCTTTACCCTTTCTACAGACATCTTCTTAGTCATCACGCAAAGAAAGGAGAGTATAAGAAAAGCCAGCGGAAGAGGGAAGCAGATAGAACGACTAATGGATAGCAGAGAGCACACAGCACGAGGCATCAGACCTGACAGACGGAAGAAAGAGAATGTACGACTCTTATACACCCCGAAATCTTTCTCTTTAGACCCTTACTACATCTTTCTAAACCTAATCAGCCTTGCCATGACCTAGGAGTGATGTTGTTTTGTTGCTTTGGTTACTTGGCTAACACCCCTTTTTCTTATCCATCCCCTAACACCCCTTTCTAAGTATATGAGATCAACAACGGTAGACCGATAAGTCAGCCAGCACTCTTGCAGCAGACCCTTTAGGACCCTTCCTTTAACTCTGATCAGGTCGAGGGAAGTAAAGTTCTAATGGTGATGACCTTGCTTGAAGCCTGCGTTAGTCACTTCTCGTTCCAGACTTGACGTACACTAGGTATATGATAGTTGTTGTTTAGTAGTACGGTTGCGCGCCCACCTACTATTTGACTTCAGCCTCTACGTACGGCCCAGTTTCGCCATGCGCCATGGCTGTATACCACTACTAACAATTTTTTACATATTTTGCGGAACCTATTAAATGTCTTATAATTAAGCCCCTTGATTATTGAGGTTCAGGACACTCCTTGGTTCTAAATTACTTGAATTTTTGACGCACTCTAACACAGTCTATTGGCGGACGGAAGTTAATATAAGGTGGTATATGAAATAGTAAGATATGATAATGAAACGGCTGTAGTTCAGTTGTGAGGCGCAAGAGGTGTTCGCTGCATACATCGAAACTGTGATGAACTCTTTGTATCTAGGAGGTAATAATCAATCTTTGGCCCTGTGAAGCTTGAGTACCTTCAAGGTTCCGCTTACCCTACATGGTACAGCCCACACTTCAAATCTTGTCATCATTGTGTCGTCTGATTCTACCAAATAATATGCAACAACGACTTGCTTAGACTTTGATTTGACGGCCCGCTTATAATCAGGTGCCCCAAGGACCGACCCGAGCTGCAAGGGAAACAGACCTCGGGAAGTATCCTCTACCCCGCAAGCTCGGTTATTCAGCAGCGGATTAGTTGACACATAGGTCATGGTGTTTTCACGTGGACAGGTCTTTGTCCATCCGGGCTCGCCGCCAAATATTACGGGTCAT